TTCCTCCTCTTCCGCACCCTGTCCGCCGATGCCGCGAGGTCGTGGGCTCGCTGATGGATCGGGTGTCCAAGCACAAGGGCGACAAGGACTGGAGCGCAGGGAGGATGCGGAGCGGGAGGAGGGATAGCCATTCCCCTTCCTCCTCCTCCCTCTCGCAGCGCCTTCGGCGAAGCGTCCCCACCGGTCGCCGCACCACGCCCGACGCGCGGCCGCGCGCTCAGGGGCCGTTCGGAGGTTGGGGGGGAGGGAGGGAGGAGTGCCCACACCCCATACCGTCCTGAGGCCCATAAAGAACTTTCTCCTCCTTCTCCTCCTCCTCCTCCTCCTCCTCCTCCTCCTCCTCCTCCCTCCACTTCCCCGCCTCCCCACTCCTTTTCTCCGTCTCCCTCCGTGCCCTCCTCCTCCGCCTCCCCCTCCGCTTGCTCGTCCGCCTCCTCCCCCACGGCCTCACGCAGGACGAGGCTGTGGAGCTGGGGAGGGCGGCCGAGGAGAAGCGGAGGCAGGGAGAAGTCGTCGATGATGAGCTCGAGACTTTCTCCTCCCTGCCTGGCTAGCTCTTCCTCTTATTATTCCTTCTTTCTTGATATCTTTCTGCATGCGAACGCGGTCGTGCTCTTCACGCTCGCGTGCTTCTCCTCCGCCTCCTCCTCCAGCTGGCCCGCCTCGCGCCTCGGCCCACGCATCGGTGCTCCTCCGCCGCCGCCTCGGCGGCTCGGCGCCGCCCACGCGGTGACGCGAGCCGCGGCCCTGCCATGCTGCGCTGCGCCTGCCAAAGCCTTGAGGATTCCCGGGGGAGCCTTGGCTCTACCGTTACATCGGGCATGTCCTTCTACAGGAGGGAAATTCAAAAACAGTCAAAAAAATAATTTGTGGACGATGCTTCCATTACTTATGAGCGTTTCTTTGACGAATTTTCATTGTTCCTCAGAAATTCGCCTGCAGGAGGGCATGCCCGACCTAACTCTACCCTTCCATGTCAAGGGCAGAAGAGCCGCCCGTACCCGATAATCGGCGTTCGCTGAGCGGCCCTGGGCGTTTATTGAACAGCCCTGCCCTGTTCGATCCCTCTCTTGGGGCGCACTGACTAAACGGCTTCGCGTGTCGGCGTGGTTATCATCGGGGTGGTTGTCTTGACCTCTCCACGCGCGCGCGGTACAGCTTGCATCGGTACAGCTTGCATCGCGCCACGGAGCCTAGCGATGCTATCAGGAGCGAAGCACTTCCGAACGCCATCTGCGTGCGAGAAGGGGCGCCCGGGGCGACGGGCGGCGGCGCAGCGCGGGGCTCTTCCTCCTCCTCCTCCTCCTCCTCCTCCTCCTCCTCCTCCTCCTCCTCCTCCTCGACGACCTCGGCGTGGCCGCGGGCCGCGGGGCGCCGATCCGCGCGGAGGGCTCCTCCCTGTCGAAGCCCGACGCCCCCGCGGGCCGAGGCCCCCGCTGCGCGCCATGCCGCGGCGCTGGGCCGCCGGCCCGCGCCGTGCCGCGGCGCTGGGGCGCGGAGGGCGGCAGCGTGGCGCGGGTCGCTGCGAGGACCTCAGCGTGGTTGCGAGGAGGCAGCCCAGACCTCCTCGCGTCGCGGAAACATCACGGCGGGAGGTCTCTATGTATACATAGATATGCATTGTATATACGTACATATACATATTTAGAGAGAACACACACACATATACATACATACATACATACATACATACATACATACATACATACATACATACATACATACATACATACATACATACATGCATGCATGCATGCATGCATGCATGCATGCATGCATGCATACATATATACATATATACATACATAAACATACATACATACATACATACATACATACATACATACATACATACATACATACACATACCTTCATACATACATACACCTACATACATACATACATACATACATACATACATACATACAGACAGGCATACATACATACATACATACATACATACATACATACATATCCGCATACATACATGCTTACATACATACATGCATACATACATACATGCATGCATACATACATACATACCCGCATGCATACATGCATAGATACAGATATACATACATGCATACATACATACATACATGCATACATACATACATACATACATATATACATACATACATGCATGCATGCATGCATACATACATATACATATATACATATATATATACATATACATATACGTACATACATATACATACATACATACATACATACATACATACATGCATGCATACATACATACATACATACATACATACATACAAATACAAATACATATATGTATATATATATATATATGCACACATACATATATATATATATATATAGTCGGCCTCTGGGGTCCCTTACTGGGCCCCGGGACCGTCAAAAGACGACTCGGGATGAAAGACCGGTCCCGAGCAAGGGGTCCAGACCTCTCGGGGGTCGGCGACGTGAAAAGTCACGACGTCGGGGATCTGGGAAAGGGGCACCGATGCCGCTGCCCACTCCTCGCCGCCGTGGCCGCGTCCGCCTCGGAGTCCTGCTCGGAGCGCGCCCCAGGAGAGGGCGGCGGCGCAGCGCGGGGTGCGTTCGAGGGCCTCGGCGTGGCTCGGAGGCGGAGGGCGCAGTCGAGAAGCAGGGCCGCCAGAGCGCGGGCCCGGAGCACGAGCCCCGTCGGCCGAGGGTCCAAGGCCCCCCGCCGCGCGAAGGCCGCTCCCGGGCCGAGCGCCCAGCACCGCGAGGAGCGGCAGGGTGCCCCGTCCAACGCCTGGGGTTATGATGCTCCAACCTACTTTAGCCTTGATCACGAGGAAGAATTTCGAGCGCCCAAAAAAATACCGAAACTCAAGGGTTTTCACGTGTCGGGCACTGGGGAGACACTCGCCCGACACTGTTTCGACACTCTTTTGACACTTTTCCAGGTGCTCGAAATCATTTCTGGGATGTGGTCCTTAAGTAGGACGGGAACAACATAAGCTTGGGGCCGCTCCTGCCCTCGCTTTAAGTCGGGCCTGTCCCTCTACAGGGGGAATATTCAAAAACAGTCAAAAAATCGTCTGGGGACTGTTTTTGTTAGTGTGTTGGGGCATATGTTGCATATGTTATGGGTATTTCTTATTTTTCGTCCAAAGTCCCCCTGTACGGTGACAGGCCCGACCTTGCCATCGCTCCAGCGGCCTACCTCTCGGCGCCGCTGCCCACTCCTCTCGCCGCCACGGCCTCGGAGTCCTGGCCGGGCCGCGCCCCGGGAGCGGTCCGTGGATGCACGGGCTTGGGGCGGCGGCCCTCGGCCTCGGGGGGGCCCTCGCCCGGCAGGGCCGCGGCCCGCGCCTCGTCGCCGCGGCCGGCACCTCGCTTCGGAGCCCTGGGCAGGCCGCGCCCCTGGAGAGAGGCCCGTGGCCTGACGGGCTCGGGTGCAGCTGTCGGTCCGCCGCCTCGGGGCCGTCAGCAGACAGCTCTGGGTGAGAAGCCGGGCCCGGGGAAGCTCGGGCGTGTGCATTGTTCCTCGGCGGGAGCCGTCGAAGAGAGCATCCAGGGTCCTCCTGCGAGAGGAAAGCACGCACGATACCGGCAGGTGCACGGGGAGTGGACGTCCGAGCGATGGCGGGGAGAGGGTCGAGGCCTCTGGAGGTCCGCGGTGTCGAGAAAAACAAAGCGTCGGATTGCTTGGGGTCCCTCCGAGGCCTTTGGCGTGGCGGGCTGCGGGCTGAGGCCTCTGCGGGGCCGACTGCCGCCGAGGCCGCGCGGAGGGGGATGTCGTGGAAACCCATGCCAAGAGGCACCCTGCTTGCCTCCAGGGTGCCCTGGGCTTCTTGGGTCTCGATGGTTTTGCTGTGGACAGCGTGACGCTCCCACACCAGCAGAGCCATGGACGTCCTGGGGTCTCAGTCTCAGGGTGGGGTGTCTTGTGGAAGGCTTCTTGTGGTCGAGCTCCTGCTGTGTGCCGAGCCGGGGTGCGTGCCCCCCCGCGCCGCGCGCCAGCGCGGGCGCGCCTGCTCCTCTCCGCGCTGCCGCCTGGGCGCCCACGCTGCTGGGGCCCCCCGGGGCGATGCGGGTTCGCCGTCTGTCTCGTCGGTGCGGGCTGCCGCTGAGGCCGCGCGGAGGGGGACGCGCCGAGCCCGGGTGCGCGCCCAGCCGAGCCGCGCGCCGTCGCGGGCGCATCGGGAACCCTCGGCTGCACGCAAGAGTAACCTTTCGCTGGAGCGACCACGGGTGCGGGCCCACAGTGGCCACCCTCCTCTTCCTGCTTCCTCCTTCCTCCTCCTCTTCCTCCTTCCTCCTCCCCTCCTCCAAGGCTTGCGCGTATCCTCCTTCTCCTCCCTCCCCTCCTCCTCCTTCTCCTCCTCCTTCTCCTCCCCCTCCTCCTACTTCCTCCTCCTTCCTCCCCCCATCCTCCAAGGCTTGCGCGCTTCCTCCTTCTCCTCCCTCCCGCGCCTCCTCCTCCTCCTTCTCCTCCGCCCCAATCCTCCTCCTGCTTCTCCTCCTCCTCCTCCTCCTCCTCATCCTCATCCTCCTCATCCTCCTCCTCATCCTCCTCCTCCTTATCCCCCTCCCTCCTTCTCCTCTCCTCCCCCTCCTCCTCCTCCTCCTCTTCCTCCTCCTCGATCATCAGCATGCGCTCTGCCTCGCGTTCCATTGTCTCCGCTACTCCTGCCCCTGCTCTTCTCCTTCTTCCTCCTCGTCATCATCATCATCATCATCATTATTATTATTATTATATCATCAATTCTCCATCTCCTCCTCCTCCTCCTCCTCCTCCTCCATCCCCCCCCGTGTCCTTCCTCCGACTCCTCCTCCTCCTCCTCCTCCTCCTTCTCCTCCTCTCCCGCTCCTCCTCCTCCTCCTCCTCCTCCTCCTCCTCCTCTTCCTCCTCCTCCTCCTCCTCCTCCTCCTCCTCCTCCTCCTCCTCCTCCTCCTCCTCCTCCTCCTCCTCCCCTCCGTAGCCATTTTGGCTCAAGCCGCGTGCGGGCCCGCTGGCCCAAACGTGCTTAGGCATCATGGCGCGGGCGGAGTTGCCCCCGGGTGGCGATTCCTGTGCTGGAGCACCGGCGCGGCGATCCAGAGCTGCGCGGACAGCGGCACGGCGGCGCGCGCTGGAGTCCGTCGACGCGGGCTTCTCGGCGGCCAAGGCCGAGCTGCAGATGAAGGAGGTCGAGCTGCGAGAGGTGGCAGCTGCGCTTGAGCTCATCGTTGGGGATTCTGTGACGGCTGACCGTGTTCGGGCCTTGCTGCCAGCGCTCAGCGCGCTGGTCCGCGGCGAGACGCCCGACTGGCTGGCTGTTCTTCGGCGGAACGTCGCGCTCCACGCGGAAGCGCCCGCGGTCGCCTCCATTGCATCGGCGGGCCCCGCTGCGCTTCGCAAGGCGCAGAGAGCCCTCGGCTGGGCCACGGGTGGGGCCGCCGCTACGCCCCGCAGCCTGGGGCACGGACGCCGCTGCGTTCGACCGCCCAGCCTTTCTGCCCCGCTGCTGTGGCCGACCCCGTCGGCCTGCTGCTGGGCACGCTGGGGGTGCAGGATGAGGAGCCCGTCGAGGAGGTAGGCAACGGCACCGAGAGCATCGCGGAGGTGCACTTCGTCACCATCGAGGGCCAGTGCGAGGGGGCCGAGACGGTCCCGCAGACGCCGCTGGCCGGTGGGATGGCGGGGCCAGAGCCGCTGGACGTCAAGGACAAGGTCGCCGCGCTGGAGGGCCTCCTCCTTGGCGCCACGGAGCGGCTGAACACGGTCGCGGTCGCGATCGTCACCGCGCAGTACGACGGCACAGAGGTGGATCAGGCGATGCACGACGGGCTCGCTGATGCCGCCGACCACCTCGTTCTTCTCGAAGGTCAGCTGGCCGCCGCCACTGAGGAGGCCAAGGCGGGCTTCGAGGGCGGCGACCACTGCATTGGGCAGGTGCCGATGGCCGAGTACGACCCTGGCGTCGAGCACGACATCGTCGGCGAGCTTTCCTCGAGGAGGGCTCCGAGGCCGACGAGGAGGCCGAGCACGGCATCGCCGACGGCGACGGCGGCGGAGTGGTTGGCTGTGCCGGTGCCGCCGACCGCCGCCCTCCTGGGCCATGGGCGGACAGGTTCGTGTTCAGCCCCGAGGGCCTCATGGCCGCGGCGGCCACGCGCTGTGCGGCGGACGGCTTCGGCGGGGAACTCGATGACGCCGACGGCGGGAGCGGCGGGCCGCAGTACGACGGCCCCCAGGCCGCTGAGGCCGCTCGCGCCCGCGACTGCGCCCAGCTCTTCGCCTCCCTCGCGGCGGAGATCGACCCCGCCTTCGGCCTGGAGGCGAACGCCTGGGGCGCAGGTCGGCGTGGGCAGAACCTGGCACCTCCAGGTTCGGCCTACGCTAAGGAAGGATCCTGGGCGGGCCCCGAATTCAGTTGCACGACCTTTTCAGGTCTAGTCTAGCCTCCTCCTCCTCCTCCTCCTCCTCCTCCTCCTCCCCCTCCTTTTCTCCTCCTCCTCCTTCTCATCCTCCTCCTCATCCTCCTCATCCCCCTCCTCCTCCTCATCGCCCCCCGCCGCCGCTCCCCCCCGCGGCAGGGCGAGAAGCCGGGACAGCTGGTGGTGAAGCCGACGCACGTCCGCAGCCACCTCTGGCGCGCCGTTCCCGCGTTCCGCTCTGGCTCGCCCCCTTGGCCTCGAGCACCCATCACGCCCGCGACAGGCACATCGTCCAGACGAGAACGGGACTGATATCGCGGGTCCTCGGCGGTTTTCTGGCCTCGGGATGCACTCTAGCAGCTGCGCCTCGCCGAGGGCGTTGCGGGCGTGCCCAGATCGTACCAAACGGCCGCCGAAGGGTAAGGGCATGATCCGGAAGCCAGGACCAGGAGGCAACGTCAGCGGGGGGATGGGCTCAGGTGGGGCGCATCGACCCTCCATCGTTCATTCATCGCCGACAGGGGCTCCCACCCCACCAGGAACGTCCAGATTTTTCGTCGGGGGACTATCGCCGATCTGTCGGCGATGTATCGCCAAGTCCATCTCAACGCTTCTCCCCCTGAGCTAGTCCCCCCCTAACATTCCCCCTCACAATGCCGCCAGCCTTCCGTCGTCGCCGCGGCCGGGCTTGCGCCGAGAGGCGGGTCCGAGCGCGCGCCGGGAGAGGTCCGTGGAGGGCGGCGGGGGCGCCCCTTGAGGAGAGTGCCAAGGAGGCTGCAGACCCCGGAGGATTCCTTATCTGATGAGGGTGGTGGTGATATCCATGGCCAGTCCACGATGGCAGTTCCACAAGCTTCCGCACCCTGGATTCCTGATCCAAGGGTTCCTTAACCAGTGCCCTCAACGTAGCGGTGCCGGTATCCCTTCGTTCCCCCCATCGCAGCACTGTGTGCCCGGTCTTCTCTCTTGGGCACCACCTTGCCGGATCGGCAGCTCTTGAGTCGATGAGCGAGCGGGCTCCTCCTGCGCGCCCTCCTTCGCGGTCTCCTCGCTCTCGCCCTCTGCCTCCTCGTCCTGATGGCGAGCAGGAGGCAAAGGACAAAGAGGAGGTAAATGCAGAGGTGGAGGAGAAGCATTACTACGTTCCAGTTTTTCAAGTTAGTTGGTCCAACATAGCAGGAGGAGGTAGATAGAGAGGAGGAGAGAAAGAGAGAGGGAAAGAGAAAGAGAGAGAGAGAGAGAAATAAAGAAAGAACGAGAGAGAGAGAGAAAGAAAGAAAGAAAGAAAGAGAGAAGGAAGAGGAGGAGAAAGAGGAGGAGAAGAGAGAGAGCAGGAGGAGGAGGAGGAGGAGGAGGAGGAGGAGGAGGAGACGAGGGAGGGGGGGAGGAGGAGGAGGAGACGGAGGAGGAGGAGGCGGAGGAGGAGAGAGAGAGAGGAGGAGAAGGAGGAGGAGGGCCAGTGCAAACCAAAGACTCATCAACGACATTGCAATATGCTCTCCCTCCAAATTCCTTCTCCATAGGCCCCTACAAGGGTTCGTTCCCACTGAGACAATGGCGTTGGAAGACAACTGTTTGAACATGCGGAACTGCTGCAAATCTCAAGCTGCAGGATCACCAGTGAGAAAGTCTCAGGCGAAATGCTTGGAGGAGAAAAGAAGAAGAAGAAGAAGAAGAAGAGGACGAGGAGGAGGAGGAGGAGGAGGAGGAGGAGGTGGAGGCGGAGGAGGAGGAGGGGAAGGAGGAGGAGGAGGAGAAGGAGGAGGAGGAGGAGAGGGGGAAGGAGGAGGAGGACCAATATAAACCCAAGACCAATTAACGGTATTAGTAAACCCTCCCTCCAAGTTCCCTCTTTATAGGCCCCTGCAAGGGTTCGTTTTCACTGAGGGGCGGGCCCCATTGGAAGACAACTGTTTGAACATCCGGAACTGTGCCAGAACAATGTTCTTGAGACTTCAACGCCACGAATCACCGCTACTGTTGCGTCTTGACGATCCTGATTCGGGCCAGAGCACCGTTCCTGGGATTTCAGCACCGCGAATCGACATTACTGTTGCGCCCTGACATTCCGACATCGTGCCAATACACCGTTGATAGGGCCTTAGCCAAGAGAATCCTTGGAACTGTTCTAAACTCTTAAGACGAAAATGCGCGGCGCTCAGGCGAGAGCCACATGTTGAAAGCGAACCGCCCTCCGAGAATTTCTTGGAAATGTTCAAGACGAATGTGCGCGGCGATAAGGCGAGAGCCACACTTTGAAAACGAACCGCCCTCCATCCGTGAATATACTGGAATGTGTTATGACTCATGTGCGCGGCGCGAAGGCGAGAGCCACATTTGGAAAACGAGCCGCCCTCCCGTGAAACTCTCGCAATCTTTGATGGCGAATGTGCACTGCGCTAAGGCGAGAGCCACATTTTGAAAGCGACCCGACGTCTATCTGTGAAACTGCTGCAAATCTCAAGCTCCAGGATCATATGTGAGGAAGTCTCAGGCGAAATGCCCGGAGGAGAGAAGAGGAGGAGGAGGAGGAGGAGGAGGAGGAGGCGGAGGAGGACGAGAGAGGAGCGAGGAGAGAGGAGAGGGGAAGGAGGAGGAGGACCAGTGTAAACCCAAGACCAATCGACAATATTGCAGTAAACCTTCCCGCCGAGTTCCCTCTTCACAGGCCCCTGCAAGGGTTCGTTTTCACTGAGGGACGGGCCTCGTTGGAAACAACCGTTAGAACATCCGGAACTGTGCCAGAACAAAGTTCCCGAGACTTCAGCGCCGCGAATCACCGTTATTGTTGCGTCTTGACGATCCGGAATCTTGCTAGAACACCATTCTTGGGATTCCGGCAGCGCGAATCGACGTTATCGTTGCGCCCTGACAGTCCGACACCACGCCGAAATACCATTTTGGGGACGTTAGCAATGCGAATATTTGGAATTGCTGTAAACTCTGAAAATGAATGTGCGCGGCGCTGAGGAGAGCGCCACATTTTGAAAAGGAGCCGCCCTCCATCCGTGAAACGTTTCGCAACTTTGTATGACGAGTGTGCGCGGCGATATGGCGATAGCCACATTTTGAAAACGACCCGCCCTCCATCCCATCCGTGAAGGTCCTGCAAATGTTTAAGACGGATGCGCGAGGCGCTAAGGCGAGAGCCACATTTGGAAAACGGCCTGTCCTCCATCCGTGAAACTGCTGCAATTGCTAATCGTCATGATTAGAAGTTGTGATCAACTCTCAGGCGAAACGCCTGGCCCGCCCTTTCGACCAGCCCCTGGGCGCGACAGGGAGGAAGTATTCATCAGGACGAGGGATGGAGGTGGAGGAGGGGGACGAGGAGGAGGAGGAGGAGGAGGAGGAGGAGGAGGAGAGAGGAGGAGGAGAGAGAAGAAGGAGGAGGAGGAGGAGGAGGAGGAGGAGGAGAGAGGAGGAGGACGCGGCAAAGGACGAGCGGGACGAGGAGGTCCCTCACACTGCTCCCTCGCCTCCTCGACTCCGCCGCGCTTTCGGAGAGAGGTCTTCGGACAGACCCCGCCCTCTGACCAGGCCTGCCTCGGGCCCTCCTGGGCAGTCTTCGAAGCCGATCTCCCGGGCTGGTTGGGCTGGCAGGGGCGGACCCCCGGGAGGGGCCCTGGGCAGGGGTCATGCTGAGGAGGAGCAGGAGGAGGGGAAAGAGGGGGAGGGCCTTTGAGGCCCGGGGCAGGGCTCACTTCGATTCCTCCGACTCGATTCGACTTCGATGGCTTCCGATTCCGATTCCGGTTCGTCTTCGGCTGCCGGCTTGGGCTCCGATGTCGCAATGGAGGCCTATTGGCATGCCGATTCCCGCAGATCCGATTCATTCCGATCGTAGATCTGATTGGTCAACTCGATTCGGGGCTCTCCTGCCTGGGGCGGACCCCTGCTGAGCGAAGTTTTGGTCAGGGGTATCGGCCGTGCGCCTCACCCTCGAGCTCGCCCTTTGGCCTCGTCCTCGTCCTCCGCGCCTTCCTCGTTCGGCCTCCTCCTCCTCCTCTTCGCTGCTGCCACCGTCCACGTCCTCCTCCCTCGCCTGCTGCTGGTCGGCCTGCTGCCTCTCCTTCCTCCCCTCCTCCTCCTCCTCAACCTCTGCCTCCTTTGCCTGCTCCCTCCCTTTGTTCCTCACCGCCAGATGTTGTCATTTTCTGCCACCTGCTCGTCTTCCTCCCTCCAATCTGCAGCGCTCTGACTGTACTGTTGCGCAGGAGGGGTCTGGCTCGAGCTGTCTTGGAGGGCTCGGGGGGGTCTGAAATGGCTTGTTTGGCCCAGAAGTTGTCTTAGACCAAGGCAGTCTGGGTGGGCTTCTGTCTTTCAACACAAGCCGCGCTCGTACATTGAACCCCCGTCGCGCTCTGTTCCTGTTCGCCTCCGCGCCTCAATTCGCTCCCGGTGCACCCCACCGCTTGCTGACCAACGTCGGACTGTCTCGGACCATTCGAAGTCCGCAGACCAAAGAAGTTCCTCTATTGAACTTGCCACGGTTGGGGATGCGGAGCTGCACGGTCAGCGTGGTGAAGTGGAGACACCGAAGACCATATTGCTTTTGCACGCGGCGATTTCGCATATGATCTTCGGCGCGGCCAGCGCCGCCCCTTCTGGGCCAGGTATGGGAGGGTTTGCCCTCCAGCCCCCCACCCCCGCACAGCCTCCCCTCACATGTTCAGTGAGACTTGGGCACCACCTCTCGAGGCGTTGGGCTCCGCCGCGCTGCGCCACGACCGCTCAGCGCGCGCGCGCGCGTTGCAAAAAAAGCGTCGCACATTTCCAGTGAAACTTGGAATGGCCACTCCTGTGTGGGCTATCCAAGGCTGCGTCTCACGTCTCCACTGTTGCACACGAGAGGGGGTCCTTTTATTGTGCCAGCCAGACAGTGTAAGCTCGTGGGTGCCACCCAAAGAGTTGAATGTTATTGCTTGTGTGCGCGTGTGTGTGCGCGTGCTTGCGTGTGAGTGTGTGGGTGTCGCAACGCCCGATCGCAATCAGCATTTCTATATGTTCCCGCGTTTG